CGTGAGTTGCTGGCGACGGTGTAGGCTGCAGCCCCTGCTGCAGTGGGTTGCCATGGGCTACCATGTGTAGCCAGCAGCCAGCGTGAGCAGCCAGCAGCCAGCGTGAGTAGACGTCCAGAAGCCAGGGACTGATCTGCCTCACCCAGGAAGAGTGCAATGATAATACCAACATGGGCCAGTGAAGTGACGTCTTCCACAACTAGACTGAAGAACAAAAGGACCGTAACTTGTCTGTTCCCCTTCCCCCAATTCCCCAATAAAAATCATAAAATAAAATAGCTTAATTGCTTAAGAAAGGTTTCCAGATACAGGTAAAATATTTAATATTAAAATTAATTTATAGACTTAAACACATTTATAACATAATAGTGGCATTTTAAAATGAAAATGAGCAGTGCCTACTTCTTGGGCCCAAAATTTTTCTTAAAGGAGATCCTATTTTCTCATTCAACAACTACCCCTCTACAACTGAAAGGCAGTAACATTTTGTTGTTCCTCTCATTAATAGCATTCCCTTTTCTGAACTCTGGAAATACGTATCATAAATACCTGTTAAAGGAGACAGAACAGCTCTTTCATCCTAGCTGTGTCGTTTCTCTGAGGAGTGAAAGCTATTTCAGAGCGTTAGGATGACGAAGACCTCCCTGCCCCTTTGGAAGGTGTCCACCGTGGTGCTGAGATCACTGCTGCTCCCGGGAGGACTTGCTGTTTAGCTGGGGACCAGAAACAGGGCCAGGCTCTGGGAGACTCACAGCGGGAAGAATACTGGGATCAAGGTCAGAGGCCCTGCTGCCCATTTAAACCACACATTTGGCATTCTCGCTTCACTCATTCTTTCCTAAAGGCCCATCTCCCCACTGAGCCCATTTCAAGAACACAAACTCTAACTCTAAATTATGTCCATCTTTTTTTTAAAGCTCTTGAAGAAATGGTGACGGAGGGAAAACTGCATTATGCAATACACATTCACTTCGTAGACGCGTGGACCTCTCTTCTTAGACTCCCATTCATCATGGCAACTGTCCCTCGAATTCTCTTCTCTCTAAACCCCCAGCCTGCCTCTCTTCCACGCTAGGTCTTTTCCTTTATACTATGAATAGCTGCATAGCCCTTCAATTCTGCATCCCAATAAATGGAAGGAACTAGGGGTTCCAGGGAGGCAGGAGAAAAGTCAGCAGATGACAGAGACTACAAAAGAGAGTCTTAAAAGAGGATGAGGTGGTCAGCACTGTCACAGCTTTTGGCAAGTGAATTAAGCCTTTATGGTCTCAGTTTTTCTCCCTCTTCCTTTCTTCATAATAGGCTCAGTGATGCCTTAGTCTGCACATTGTGTAGCTCTTTTACACTTATGCCTTGACAAAGGATGGTCATCCTCTCCTTTAAAAAGCTGTCCCTCCAGACTGGCTAGGTCTGGAAGTGTGTGGAAGGTATCTTAGTCTTCTCGAGCTCTGCAACAAAATACCACCGATTGGGTAGCTTACACAACAGAAATGTGCTTCTCACAGTCCTGGACATGGCGAAGTCCAAGATCAAGAACTGCAGGGTTTAAGTTCCTGGGGAGAGCTCTTCCTAGCTTGCAGTCCACCTTCTCGCTATGTCCTCGCACAAGAGAGGCAGAGAAAACTGCTGTCCTTTGTTATAAAGATACTAATTCTACCGGATGAGGGCCCCACTCTTATGACCTCATTTAACTTTAATTACTTCCTTACTTTTCCTTACTCCAAATGCAGTCACACTGGGGGCTAGGGGTTCAAAACCTGAATTTGTACGGGGCACAATCAGACCACATCAGAAGGTAATAGCCAGGAAGAAAGTGACCTTGTCCGGCTTTCAGGTAGCAAAGCCACACCTGCCCTGCCATCTTCCTACATAAACCAAGAACTTGGGTTTCCAGGGCACCATAGGCTCTAGGAGAAGAGGAAGAAGGAGCGGTGGGAAGAGAATTAAAATGGCTTAGGTCTGTGCCTCTCTCCTCAGTGTTTCTCAGAGCAACCTCACCAGAGAGACCATTGCTTTCTACAGCTGAGGAGACTGTGAAGGAGAGATAAGCTGACTTGATTCAGGCTGTCCTAGTGGTTGGTCCCTGGCAGAGCCAGATGTGAGGGCTTTTTACCACACCACAGCACACCGTGCGGGGCCAGGCACCCATGATGCCCACTAGGGCAAAGGGCGCAGTGAGCCCTACAGGGGGGACTTCTCTGACCCTCATCAGTGAAACGAGGTAATAACGCTTCATCCGCAAGGTTGTCCTGAGCATTAAGTAAGATGGCAATGTGAGCCTCCCAGCCTCGCCAGCCCTGAACCAGGCTGGTCCCCTCCTTGGCTTCCCTCTGAGAGCCCACACTGAGCTGGGAAGGCAGCCTCACTTGCAGCAACTAAGCATTTGCCAGCCTCCCACATGAAAGGTTACAGGGAACAAAATGAATGAAAACTGCATTCCTTTTACTCACCCAGTCAAAAAGCTTTGCTCTCCCAGTCGGGTGGATTTTAAGGCCAGTCATCAAAGTGTCAAGCCCCTTGGCAGGACGCAGCACAGGGACCTACTGTCCCCACAACCTCAGAACACCTTCGAGCTTCAGGTTTCAGCTCAGGCGCTGGCCTCACCACCCACCCAGTCTCAGGGACACCCTCAAATCCTCCTCTGGCTCATAACCCCACGTCCAATCAGTCCTGTCACTCCTGCCTCTACAGCGTCTCTGGGGTCAGGTCACCTCTTCTCCATCCACCCTGCATGGCCTCACTCTGAGTGCTAAGCACGTCTCACCTGCAGGCTCTGCACAGCCCCCTTGCAGTCCGACCGCTGCAGGCCCAGTTCAGTGCTGCTGCCGGCCATCTTCCTCAAACACAGCCTTAGCCCATCCCCCTTGATTTTCATCCCCTCTGCTGGCTCTTCTGCCATCTCAGGACACACGGTGCCCTTCACCTCCAGCTCCTTGCATACACTGCCCTGCCAGGAATGCCCCTCACCCTTCTCTGCCTCACAAGCTCTGATTTGTTCTTCTTCCAAGCAGCTCACACTGTATTACAATTAGCTGTCTCCACGTCTTTCTTCCCCACCAGACTGTGAGATCCTGGAGAACAAGGGCTGTGTTTTATTCATCTTTGTATTCCTGTTCATTGAGTCTGACATAATAGATGCTCAGTAAATGTTTGTTGACTGACTGAATGAGGTATCTGTTCCTTTTGTTGTGAATAAAGCTCTATATGTTATAGTTAACAGTCAACACTCAATTTATCTGAAAATTACCTATCTTACATTTTTCTCTTGCTCTGCATTAACTCATGTTTCTGAACATTAACCCCTAGAAATTAACTGCTTTCCATTGCTGTAGGCTCCATGCTGACTGGCTGACTGACCCACTGACTTCCCACTGCGGGGTGGCGGGAAACCTGCAGGCTCCATACAAAGCTTCTTCAGCTCAGTGGATCTGCTCATTGGATCTTCTTTGTCGGTAGGGATGGGAATAAGGAAGAAGCTGCACCTGGCTTCATGGCTCAGATTTGTTTTCTTGGCTGTTCGGGATGCCGAGATGGTTAATAAGCAAATCAGCCTCAGCATTCAAATACGCAGTTAATAAATCCTGAAAGAGATACAAATCAAAATCCTCCAGCAGAGCCTGTAGGCAAAACCTGTGCTTTCCCTAATCCTCCCTAACCCCAATGATCACTTTCTTTTCCACCATGGTGTGTGGCATTAGGACAAGATTGTGGGCAATGTCATCCCCTGGGAATGCAACAGCTTCTCAGGCTGGAGGTTTCCTGGCTCTATGCAAAGGATTCTAGCCAGAGGAGTCACAGCACTGGAGGTTGTGCGTGCCCTGCTTAAATGACAGCAGCACCTACATGCCACCATGTGTATGTGAGCCTCCTCTCACAATCCAGCCTGGAACAGACAGCCTACAAGTCAGTATAGGGCCAGCGCTTTGGCCCCGGTAAGTCTAGAAGCCCTCGTGTGAAAGACTGCTTTGCCCTTGGGTTTAATTCTTTTTCTCCTGGAGCTAGTCTCACTCAAACAAGGACTCTGACCAGAGTTGGGGAGAGAGTTGAACCATATATGCCATACAGAGTTCAATGCCCGATCAAAGCAGGGCTAACACCCAGCTGAGGTCATGATGCTCTGCTGCCCATTTTGTTTCTTCCCAGGGGAAGCAGAGGCAGGCGCAGCTGGGCTTCCAGAGGGAGCACCCCAGGAGATGGAGAAGCTGGATACGAACGCCTCAAAGGAACAAAGATTCTGCCACTACTCGGAGGACTACAAGCAAATCTACCTCTCTCTGACCTACAGTATCATTTTTGTGCTAGGGCTGCCCCTGAACGGCACTGTCTTGTGGCTCTCCTGGCACCAGACCAAGCGCTGGAGCTGTGCCACCATCTACCTGGTGAACCTGATGGTGGCCGATCTGCTTTACGTGCCGACGCTGCCCTTCCTCATCATCGCCTACTCCTTGGGTGACAGGTGGCCCTTCGGGGAACTGCTGTGCAGGCTGGTGCGCTTCCTGTTCTACACCAACCTCTACGGCAGCATCCTGCTGCTGACCTGCATCTCTGTGCATCGCTTCCTGGGAGTGTGCCACCCTGTGCGTTCCCTGCCCTACCGGACCCGCCGGCATGCCATGCTGGGCACGGCAGCCACCTGGGCCCTGGTGGTGCTCCAGCTGCTGCCCACACTGGGCTTCTCCCACACGGGCTACATCGACGGCCAGACGATCTGCTACGACATGACCAGCCCAGATAACTTTGATCAGTTTTTCGCCTACGGTATAGTTCTGATGTTGTCTGGCTTTGCCTTTCCCTTCTCGGTCATCGTGGTGTGCTACTCGCTGATGGTCAGGAGCCTGACCAAGTCAGAGGAGACCCTCGTGAGGACGGGGAAAGCAGTCCGGGCCAAGTCCATCCGCACCATCCTGCTGGTGTGCAGCCTCTTCACCCTGTGCTTCGTGCCCTTCCACATCACACGCTCCTTCTACCTCACACTCCGCTTCCTGACCTCCCAGGACTGCCAGCTTTTGGTGGTGGCCAGCTTGGCCTACAAGATATGGAGGCCTCTGGTGAGCATGAGCAGCTGCCTCAACCCAGTCCTGTACTTTCTCTTAGTCGGGAAAAACAGAGTCAGGCTCCTCCAAAAACTGAGGCATAACAAGGTGGGTGCGCACCCAGCTGGAGCCCAGGGAGGGGGGTCCAGGGTTGGGCAGATCTGGGCGCTGTCAAGATGAAGTGTGGAGAAAATGAGCTCCAAGACATTGACAGTGACTTGTTTGAACACAGTCATGTGCTAGTGGTAGAGGGACTCAAGATCTCCTAGGGGTGTCCTGCTGGAAAGTTTTTTTTTTTTAAGAATTTATTGGGGAATTGGGGGAGGGGAACAGACAAGTTGCTGTCTTTTTGTTCTTCAGTCTAGTTGTGGAGGACGTTGCTTCACTGGCCCATGTTGGTATTATCATTGCGCTCTTCCCGGGTGAGGCAGATCAGTCGCTGGCCACTGGACGGTCGCTCACGGCGACTCTTGGCAGCTCTCGGGGCTGACAGCTGCTCATGCAGGATGCCAGCCACTCATGATAGCACAGCAGCCCACTGCAGCAGAGGCTGCAGCCTACACCTTCACTGGCAACTCACAGTAGCCAAGCTCCAGGTCGAGCTGTTGTTCACCATCTTAGCTGTAGAGGGCGCAGCATACTGGCCCACATGTGGGATCTGAACCAGGGCCCTGCTGCTCAGAGCTGGTTTCCCAAGCCAACTCCCAACCAACGCACCACTCGGCTGGCCCTGGAAAGGGTTTTATATTGATGTTATGAGACTTTAAAATAAGAACATGGACAGAGCCACCAGCACAAAGGAAAACTTTACTTTAATGAGAGCTGACATGTATCTCTGTCATTCAAGTCTCAGCTCAAACATCACCTCCTCAGAAGCCACTCCAGCCCATCACAGCTAATGCTGAACTCTCTCCCCATAACCCAGGCATTCACTATTGGATTTCCCTATTGTCTTTCTAACACTGATTAGTGCCTGGACTTGTTAGTTTATTTATGATCTGTCTCTGCCCCCTAGAATATAGGCTCCTATAGGACAGGGACCCTGTCTGTCTGACTGCTGTACCCCTAATGCCAACATCACAGCAGAGCCCAGAACATAGTGAGTGCACAACCCATAGGGGTTGAATAAATAAGTGAATGAATAAATGGGTGGATGGATGTATGAAGCCCTTACTATGTAAGAGCAATTTACATGGAGTAGCTCATTTAACCCTCACAACAGCCCTTGGAGGTGGGAGCTATTATTCGTCCCATTTACAGACAGGTGAGGGAACTGAAGAACAGAGCCTTAAGGGACTTGTCCAAGGTCACCCAGCTGGAGAATGCCCAGGTCACAGTGTTGGATGGAAGTTTTGAACCCAGGAATTGGCCGCTGAAGTACACGCTCCTAAGCTGAAGCACATGGCCCAATCCAAAGGCTGGTCAAGAGCCAAACAAGTTCTCACTGACAGCACCAGTCTTCTCCTTAGGTCAGCTCACTTGTTCAAATAATTGTTATTTGCAGACCACTGAGTATATACAGTATAAGCTCTTTTACTACCCTTCTTAACCAGTGTCCTGGTTAAGGTTAGAAAAAGCTCTGCCTGATAAGTGGGAGATACAGGGTAAAGTGGCTGCACGAGCCATGGTTTTTATTTGAACATGATGTCTCAGTTTGTGACCGAAAAGTTTTACCAGTCTTAAAGCATATGATGTTCATTCTCTACCAAAGAGGAAAAAACACTGCATTTAAATCCCAAGGTAATCCAAAAAGATAACCTTAAAAAACTCTCACATTTAAACAATAATGATCTCCACGGAGTTCTCAATCTAAGCATACATTATTTAATAATCCATTATAATCTCTCTATACAGAGGTACATAAGCCTTTTTTATAAAAACCAAAGTATAAACTCTCATTACTACCCCACTCTACTTTCAGGAAAGAGTAAACCATGTATATGTCTAAATTATAAAATTTTATTCTGAAAGAGCAGTTTATTGCTTTCAAGGGCACACAATAATTAGCACTAGACTAAGTGTTGCCTAACAGAATTCCTTAGGATAATTAGTTTAATAAATAGGCAAGGATGTTTTCTAATTAGCAGGTCAGCTGTTTCCACATAAGTAAGTGCTTCTACAGTAGCTGAGAGAGCTTAAAGCTGATTGCTCTTTTGAAATCCTATCAGCTCTCTTGCTTAATCTTATTAATTCTTGTCCCTGTCTTTGCATGCACAACACACTGAGAAGACTCAGCCAACCTATCACCCCTTAGAAATTAATCAAGTTTCACATTGCTGGCGAACTAGTGCACTAGGCTCCCCCCAAAAAAGCTTAAAGCCATTCCACGTCCCAATGCCCACCAGCCTGCCAACTCTGGAGGTGGGAAGAAAACCTAGAATCCTCAAGATGCACCACCTTTATCTAAAATGCAAGTGCTTTATACACCTGCTGAAGTTTTCCAGCCTTTAGTCTCTGTTAACCTATGCTTGCAATTACTTCTCTGGTCCATATCATACTAATTTAGCTTCAGCAGAGACTTTTGACCTTCTTAGCAGGAAAGCATCCATTTTTAACTTATTTCTGGATAGTTGGGATCAAAAAGTTTAACTTAGTTGACATTGTATCCTGGTTTTCAGGGACAGTTATTCAAGATACAAAAATCCAATAAGACTATCTATCCCCTTTGAAAAAGGGCCCCTTTGTAAGGGGAGCTGGGAACCCACTGCCCAATGTAAGACAAGGAAATATATCTGCCTCTCCTGTGATTATCAAAAACCCACCCATAGAAGGGGACAAGGAGACCAGAAGAAACAAAAGTTCCTCATGAATCTACCTGGGCAATGTCTACCACCCTGGTGAAATCTGGGATCCCCAAATGTGTTATCCCTCTGGGCCCCAAGTATCACATAATCTGCCTGGTTGTTTGGGCAGGTCCAAATAAAATCAAAGGTCAGCGAATATCATCATGTTCAAAATCCATGGATGCAGATATTAGGGCTGTAGCCAACTACAAAAACACAAGTGCACAGCCCTTCAGGAGGTTAGAGACTGTTGGAGCAACAAAACAAAAACATACATACAATCATGGATGGGGAAGAGGCTTGATCACTGCACTGTACA